TTGGAAGACTAAAGGAAGCATCTAGTCAAATGGCTCCACATGCTATCCTTGTAAAGGTTTATAAATAGAGACAGCACAAGCACATTGTTCTTGAATTAAGTTGTAACCCTATTTGTTAATACCATCCATGAATTTACCTCTTTCCACATAGATAGACACAGATAATGGGAAAGACATGGAAAAAGGGTCCACAATATTTTACAGCACCTCTGCATAAAGCAAACTTCTGTACAATGGTTCTGCTTTCTATCTTTTCATACTGATTGACTAACTGTCGGATCAAGTGTGGGCTTTTCATTTCTAGTCCCTTCTCTCCTTTCACTAGCTAATCCTGGAGTATAGCTACGGTTTTATCCGCAAAGGCGAGCTGATATTTTATCTGGTCTATTCCATTAATATTACAAGTATACCAGTGGAGAAGCAGTTTAATCAGAATGTTAGTTATTTCTATTGCGGAGGAATATTCTTCCAGACTGGGAGCAATGTGAATATTTCTTGATCCACCATTTAAAAAGTCAAGCTAACGTAAAAACTCTTGTAAAAACGTTGAGTTGAACAATCCTTCTTAACGTACATCATTTATGGCAAAGCCAAGAATAACAAATTTTGCAACCATTATACTAACACTGGAGGCACAACAGTTACATACTTACAAATACCAAAAAACCTTAAATTTACATACAAGGTCATTCAGTTATGTGTGGTGTATTACAGAAAGTCATGACTAACTGAAACACTGGCTCCCTTTGGAATATTACTTCGGAGCATTGGATGCATTTTCTAAATGCTTCCACTCAATTCTTCCCTCTCTTTTAAACTCATTGCGACTGAGGGCTTGAGAAAAGAGCAGCAAGGCAGAAGCAGCTTTGAAATTCATTCAAAAAAAACACATGGATTGTAAAACGTGCCTGCACAGCTGAACTACCAGAACACTCATTTCTACAACATCAGAACTTCAGCTTTGGATCAAATCTGGATTTTGAATTGGAAAGCAAGATCAGGAGAAACCAGTTACACATGGCGAACCACAGAGTGGGGCGAGACAGCATCCTGGAGGAGTGAGGGAGGCACCAATCAAGTCAAACAGGAAATAGTGTTAAAATAAATCTCGTGTCACAAGATTACTGGCCCCATTAACTAACCAATATTAAACTTTACCTTAAACAAGCACCGACTGCAATCCAAAACTATTCTCACTGCTCTGCTCCCTCTCTATAGTCCTGAATTTTTCTTCAAATCAAATCAAAACAGAAAATGTTGGGAATACTTGGTAAATCTGGCTGCATTTCTAGGCAAAGAAACAGAATGACCATTTCAGGTCAATGACCTTTCATCAGAACTGCAAGCTTCAGCATTTTGTTTTTAACTTTGGATTCAGAATTCTACATAGTATTTTGTTATTGACGAACTCAACCTGGGCAAATTTTTAAAATAATCCTGTTTGTAAAGAGGAAGTATTCGCATGAGAATGAATACTTAAAACTGCATTAGTACAAACAACGTAAGCCAAGAAATTTCCCCAAAATGTTCCCGAAAATCGCAAAAACTGAATGAGTCTACTGTTAAACCCATTGAAATTAATCTTTCACTGAATAACAGAAGTCCGAAATGCAACCATGAAGAAAACTGTCATATTTGAATGTGCCTGAATTGTTTGATTTACACTCACTACATACCAACCAAACAATGAGATAGCAAGAACTGCAAATGCTGGAGTCAGATAACAGTATGGAGCTGGAGGAACACATCAGACCAGGGAGCAGAGGTGCAGGAAAGTTGACGTTTCGGAAATGGTGGGGGGTGTGGGGGAAGGGAGCTGGGAAATAAATGGAGAGAGGAGAGGTGGGGCTGGGGAAGGTAGGTGGGATGGTGATAGGTGAGTGCAGGTAGGGAGTGATGGGGATTGGTCAGCGGGATGGGAGGAGTGGATAGGTGGGAGAGAAGACGGACAAGTTGTGTCAGGTAAAGGAGGCAGATGACGCCAGGGATGGGGAGATTTTAAAGCTGGTGAATTCCATGTTTCGGCCATCGGG